TGTCCCCCACTTCCTTCTTCTTCCCCCAGCTTTTATTGCTGAGCATGATGTCATGTGGTGTGGGATATCCCTTTGGTCAGTTGGGGTCAGCTGTCCCAGCTGTGTCCCCTTCCAGCTTCTTGTGCACCCCCAGCCTCCTCACTGGTGGGGTGGGCTGAGGAGCAGAAAAGGCCTTGACTCTGTGTAAGCCCTGCTCAGCAATAACGAAAGCATCCCTGTATCATCAACATTGTTTTCAGCATAAATCCAAAACATTGCACCATACTGGCTACTATGAAGAAAATTAACTGTATCCCACCAAAAACCAGCACACATATATATCACAGAATCACAGCATGGTTGAGGTTGGAATGGACCTCTGGAGGGCATCTGGTCCAACCGCCGTGCTCAAGCAGGGCCACCTAGAGCCAGTTGCCCTAAACTGCTTCTAGATGGGTTTTGAGTATCTCCAAGGAGGGAGATTCCACAACCTCTCTGGGCAACCTGTGCCAGTGCTGGGTCACCGTCACAGTAACAGATTGTTTCCTGGTGTACAGACAGTATCTCCTGTGTTTCAGTTTGAGCCCATTGCTCCTGGTCCTATCAATTAAAAAGGACGTAATAGTCTGCGGTGAATCAAGCAGGTGGAAGCTAATGTTTGGATTTTATTCTTGTGCCCAACCAAACTGTGTAGCACAGGACAGTCCCTAGCAAAAGCTTCAGTTCATTTTGGGGAAAGAAAGACACAAGTCTTGCAATTCATGCTGAAACATCCTGAAACATGTCAGCCAGTCATGGATTCAGGGTTTAGCATTGGACATCTTTAATTTTAAAGGTGTGAAATACTACCTCTAGTCAATTCAACAAGCGTTTTTCTTCCAGAATTAACCTTCATACATACACATCTCAGCATGAATTACCACAGAAAACTTGAAAATTAGGTAGTGGGTAAGACCAGCAGCTTTTCATTCTCTTTAACCTTTGCTGAGCTGCTGTTCTTTAAACTGCTGCTACAGCTATCTATTTCCCTCGCCAGCATTACCAGTTGTTGTTGGTGGTTTGGTTTTATTATTATTTTTATTTGTTTCTTCTTGCTTGAATGGTGGAAGATAATAGCCGTGTCACAGTGATGTAGCACTAACTCTGGGCACCAGCCCTGGTGCTGGCATGGCCATGTCACTGTGGGCAGCCACCAGCTCTGAGAACCAGCCCTTGGGACATTGTGGCCATGTCATAGTGGGCAGAATGTTGGTGGTGCCCAGGATGGGTATAAAAAGGCCTGCACCAGCCCAGTCTGGCACTGAGAGGAGAGGGCAGGGAGGGAAGGGAAGGGCACAGAGGCAGGGGCTGCCCATGGTAATGGATGGTGGCTGCTCCTCTGTTGCTTTTCCTGTGTATTGCAGATGGACGTGCAGACAGGGATAGGACCAGACCATGGCACGCTCCTATCTTCTCCCTCCTCTGCTGCTCTGTTGGAGAGTTGTCAGCGCTCTACAGGACAGATAAGATAGCAACCCTTCATGGTCTTACAGGGAGCTGGAAGCTCCCCACAGCCATGGGCAAATGCAGCTCTACACTCCTTTTCCCTGGCTGGTTGAGGGCTGGCCCCACATGAGCTCCTGGCACCAGCCCTAGCAGTGTAGTGGCCATATCACAGTGGGCAGAATGCTGATGGTGGCCCCTGTTACAGTGGGGTTGGTGACATGATTGGCCCAGGATGGATGTCTCCTGGCTGTCACAGAGACATGGGATGAACAGCTGGCATTACGCTAGGAGAGCCCCAGGAAGGGAGGAAGGGGCTGCCCATGGTGACAGAGTGTGGCTGCTCTGTTTGTTGATTCTCCTGTCTCTGACACCTGCAGCCCCCAACAGAGACACAACCAGATTGTGGCATGCTCCAGTCCTCTCCCTCCTCTGCCACCCAGTTGGAGAGCATTGCAACTTGCACAAGGACACCAACCTAAGCTCCATTCTGTACCACATCATAGAATAGAATCATAGAATCACTTTGGTTGGAAAAGACCTTTGAGATCATCAAGTCCAACCGTTAACCTACTAAACCTGCCCTGGTGCAACTTCAAACCATTCCCCCTCGTCCTATCATCTGTTACCAGGGAGAAGGGACCGACCCCCACCTCACTACAGCCTCCTTTCAGGTAGTTGTAGAGGCCAATCAGGTCTCCCCTCAGCCTCCTCTTCTCCAGACTAAACAACTCCAGTTCCCTCAGCCGCTCCTCGTATGTCTTGTGTTCCAGACCCCTCATCAGCTTGGTTGCTCTCCTCTGGACATGTTCCAGCAATGCAACATCTTTCTTGTAGTGAGGGGCCCAAAACTGAACACAGTATTCAAGGCGCGAGGAGCTTCCAGCTCCCTGTAAGACCATGAAGGGTTGCTATCTTATCTGTCCTGTAGAGCGCTGACAACTCTCCAGCAGAGCAGCAGAGGAGGGAGAAGATAGGAGCGTGCCATGGTCTGGTCCTATCCTTGTCTGCATGTCCATGTGCAATACAGAGGAAAGGCAACAGAGGAGCAGCCACCATCCATTACGTCATGGTCCCACAGGTGGCTGGAAGGTCCCCATAGCTGTGGATGAAGGGAGCTCTGCACCACCCACCATCTCTGTACCCAGCTGTGGTCCTACAGGCAGCTGGAAGGTCACCTGAGCCATGGACAAAGGGAGCTCCACACTACCCCCCCTTTTCTGTGTGAAACTTCTTTGTGTCTAACCTCCTTACAAACATGCAAGGGAAAAATTGAATTCATTTAATGAAAAAGACAAGTCCTGAACTTCGTTGGCATTATTTATCTTAATAAAAATTTGTAATGAGAGCCTCTATGAACTACATACTAGCACTAAAATATCTGCCTTAGCTATTTCCTGCTAATTTCCTAGATGTTTGTTCTCCCAGAGAGAGCAATGGCAATTTATTAATATCTATTGTTCAGCCCTGAGGACATATTTACGCTTCCCAAGAGGGAATGTATATATATATGTATATGCATGTGTGTGTATATATAGATACACATTTGCATATATATGTTAGGTGCATATCGCATAAAAGGAAAGTCACTATATGGAAACAATGTCAGATTTTGAAAGCAACTCACCTAACAGCTATGAAAAGATTGTCCCTGCAGCCTTAACGCTCCCTGCTGTGTAATGTGGATCCGTTAGTTGAAAGCATGCACAGAATGAGAACCACTCCAGGGTCTGTGGCAGTGGAGATCAGTTGTACCTGTTTATCGAAAGAGAAGATTTCTTTTTCTTTTACTCTTTAATTTTTACCTTATTGATTTTTTGCTTTTTCTATTTGATGAATATTGATTGTACTCATGCAGTGTTGCACTCATACTGGCTGCTTTATTTCTCCCTTTCTTGTTTATTCATTGTGGTAATTTACTTGGGGATATGAAAACTGCTGAGTGTCACAGAATCACAGGATCACTGAAGTTAGAAGGGACCTCTGGAGATCAGCTAGTCCCTGCCCAGAGGAGGGTCAAATACAGCAGATTGCTAAGGGACATGTCCAGACAAGTTCTGAGTATCTCCAAGGATGGAGACTCCATAGCCTTTCTGGATAACCTGTTCGAGTATTTGACCACCCTCAAAGAAAAAAAAAAAGAAACAAAAATCGTATATTTAAACAGAATTTACTGTATTTCAGTCTGTGCCCACTGCCACTGGATACCACTGAGAAGAGCCTGACTCTGTCTTCTTTACTCCCCACATCAGGTATTTACACACATTGATAAGATACCCCAAGGCTTCTCTTCTCCAGGATGAACAGTTGCAGCTCTCTCAGTATCTCCTCATATAGTTAGATGCTCTCAGCATTTAACCATCTTTGCGCTGGGCACACTCCAGTATGCCCATGTTTCTCTTGTACTGGGGATCCCAGCACTGGACGCAGCACGCAGATGTGTCTCACCAGTGCTGAGCAGAGGTCAGCACTCAACCTCCTTGTAATGTTTTTACTAATACTGACCAGGACACCATTGACCTTCTTTGCTGTGAGGGTGCATTGCTGGCTCATGGTCAACCTTTTGTGCACCAGGACCCCCAGGGCCTTCTCTGCAAAGCTGTTTTCCAGCTGGTTGGTCCCCAGCGTGTACTGGTGCCTGCAGTTATTTCTCAAAATGGCTTGGCATTTCCCTTTGGTTCATTTCATTGCCTCATTTCTCCAACCCGTTGCAGAACCTCTGAATGGCAGCACAGTGAGAACCCTAAAAAGTCAAGATAAACAACATCCACTGCTCTCCCCTTGCCCTCTAAGCTAGACATTTTGTCATAGAAAGCTATCAGGTTGGTCAGGCATGATTTCCCCATTATAAATATATGCTTAATACTCCCAATCACCTTCTTGTCCTTCATCCTTCTGGAAATGGTTCGTAGGATTAGTTGCTCCACGAGTTTCCAGGAATCGAGATGATGCCTTTAGTTTCCTACATCCCTCTTCTTCCCTTTCTTGAAGGTTGGGAGTGTCATCTGCTCTCTTCCAGTAGTCAGGAATCTGCCCACATTGCCATGATCTTTCAAATAAAATGGAGAGCAACCTTGCAATGACATGAGCCAGCACCAGCTCCCTCTGCACCCATAGGTGCATCCCATCAGGGCACGTGGACTTGTATACATCCAGTTAGTTTAAATGTTCCCTAGCCTGATCCTCTTTCACCAAGGACAAGTCTTCCTTGTGCCAGACTTTCCCACATCTCAGTGACCTGAGATTCATGTAGTCCAAACTCACCAGCAAAGACTGAGGTGAAGAAAGCATTGGGCACCTTGACCTTTTGGTTTCCTTTGTCACCAGGTCCCCAGTGGCCCCACATTTCCCCTTGTCTTCCCTTTTCTGTTAATACACTTGTAGAAGCCCTTCTTGTCACCTCTCATGTTCCTTGCCAGATTCAACCTCAGATGGGCTTTCCTAACCTCACCCCTGCATGCTCAGACAGTATCTCTTTATTCCTCTTGGGTCATATTCCTCCTAGGGAGGGACCGTCCCTGATTCCACCTTCTGTTTACTTCCTTTTTATGTTTAAATTTAGTGAGGAGCTCCATGCTCATCCATGCAGGTCTCCTGCCACCTTTGCTTGAATACTCATGAGGATGGATGGATCTTGAGCATAGAAAAAGGGATCCTTGAAAAACAAGCAGCGCTTCTGTACCCATCTTTGCTCCAGGGTTGTCCCCCATCGGACAGAGAATCTGTTGGTGTATGGACTGGATGAGCAGACAGTGAGATGAATTGAAACCTGTTTGAATGTCTGGACCCAGAGGGTGGTGATCAGTGGTACAAGGTCTATTTGGAAGCCAGTGACTATAAAGGTGTACCCCAGGGATCCATACTGGGTCCAGCCTTGTTCAACATAGACTCATAGAATCATTTAGGTTGGAAAAGACCTTTAAGATTATCAAGTCCAACCGTTAACCTAACGCTGCCAAGTCCACCACTAAACCATGTCCTTAAGCACCTTGTCTACCCGTCTTTTGAATACCTCCAGGTATGGGGACTCAACCACTTCCCTGGATAGCCCGTTCCAATGCTTGACAACCCTTTCTGTGAAGAAATTTTTTCCAGTGTCCCATCTAAACTTCCCCTGGTGCAACCTGAGGCCATTTCCTGTCGTCCCATCGCTTGTTACTTGGCAAAAGAGACAGACACCCACCTTACTACAACCTCCTTTCAGGCAGTTATAGAGGGCGATAAGGTCTCCCCTCAGCCTCCTTTTCTCCAGATTAAACAACCCCAGTTCCCTCAGCCGCTCCTCATAAGACTTGTGCTCCAGACCCCTCACCATCTTTGTTGCTCTCCTCTGGACATGTTCCAGCAACGCAACGTCTTTCCTGTAGTGAGGGGCCTAAAACTGAACACAGTATTCGAGGTGCCTCACTCCTCACCATCCCAGATAGTCCTTACTAAGAGCCTGTACCCCTCCATCACAGCACTCCAGTCATGTCAGCTATCCCACCACTTCTCTGTGATTGCTGAGTAGCCCTGCAACTGCAGGGAGCCCTCCAGTGCCCCCTGCTTGCTCCCCGTGCTGCGGGTGTTGCTGCGCAGGCATGTCAGAGGGGCTGATTCCCCATCAAGGGCATGAGAGCTTCCCCCATGTGCCGTCCTCTCAGCACAGACCTGTATCCCCTGCAGGTGGGGCCCTTTCTGCCCTGTTTCGTTGTTTCCAAGTTCTTTCCTGCCCATGCCGCCCCGCACCTTTTGCTTACAGCACACATAATCGCAGTCCTTCTCTTCCCGCTCTTCACCTCCCCCATCGTTCCTAGTTTAAAGCCCTCCACGCCAGCCTGGCCAGCCTGTGGCCAAAGATGGGTTCGCTGCCCCGTCCGGGTGGATCCCGCCTCTTACTGGCAGCCCTCCATCCCCAGAGACCGACCACCCGCCCGCCGCCTC